TGCTCGTCAAGGAAGGCAGCGAACGTAAAATAAAGATGCCCAATTCGGGACTTGGAAGAGGTGTAACGCGCGCTAAGACGAAACGATCTAAAGTCAGCAGCCGCCAACGAACAACCGGGGAACACAATACAGGGCCGAGCTATGCCTGTTTTAAGACCCGTTGAATTCAAGAATCTGTCCTTCGGGGGCCAACACGTATGGGGTTCTGCTGATTGTGAGAAAAGAAACCGGAAGGAGATTTCTGGGCTCAAAAGGACGCATATAAATCCTTATTATTGCAAATAAACAAGAGAGGGACACCACCAGTCCCAAGCATCCATGGGGAGACGTCCGGGCATCCCAGCTTCCGGGCTCAACAGAGGTGTTTATCAACAAAGTGCTCCCTATTTCGCAAGAAAAAGCAAATCCTAATAACCAGTTAACCCCATGACACCCTCCCACCCCTGTTTGCGACATGAGCCTCTCTCTTGACCCAGGGCTGAGAGTGAGGAATATGTTTGGGTACAGACAGGCCCATACATTTCTCTGCTTTCCTGCTTCCGTCCTCTATTTATTTCTTTATTTCATTTATTGCCTTAGCTTTCGATACTGCCCTCTTATCGTCCTGGGCGGGTCAAAGCAAATGCCCTACCAAACCCGGTGGGGTGTGTGTGTGTGTGTGTGTCTGATGACATGGCCATGCCAAATAAAACTTCTAGGTCTTGAAAAGGGTACGGAGACTCCTTCTTTCTCCTAAAAGAGGGACCACCCCACCCCTCTCGTTTCCCCAAAGGGAGGTACAATCTTTCAAGAAAGAGGTTTTTTTCTCCCTCTCCCAAATTTTAAAACCATGCTCACGTCCCCCAGGCTGGGAGGGGCAGAGCTCCTTAAGGTGGGAGGTGGGGATGGAGGCGTTGCCACGGTAACCCCGCATCCTCAACCTTCCCCTGGGTACCAAAGCAGATAAAGGATGCTTCTTAATCTGTCTTGGGGTTTCCTCTCTTTGGCCCCAAAAATCTCACCCCTGTCCATCTCTCCGCCGCTTTCCGTCCGCCCTTACCTGACTCCAGAGGGCACCTTGATTTTTGCTCCAGGTGTGGGGTTCGATTCCCCACCCCCCCTTTGACTGTGGTGGCGCAGGAGATGTTGGGGGCCCGGCTCGGCTCCTCTTGGCAAACTTTGAAAAACTTTTGTGGCTGGTTTCCCCGCAGGGAGGAAAGAAGGGGTGGGACGAAAGGAGCCGGGGAGCCAATGGGCGAGGCCTGGGAAGATCCGCTCAGCCAATGGCAAGGAAGTAGCTTTGCCCTATAAGGATGCCTTGGAAGAGATGCAGTTGCTAGAAAGAGAGAGACGATTAAGGGGTTTTAAATCTCGTAGGGTGGGGAGCAAAAAAGGGGGGACTCCCCTTGTCATCTTTCAGGGGAGGATCCCCTTTCCAAAGACCCGGTGGGGGTGCATAGGAGAGGTACCCCCCCAAAAAAAAGCCACATCTATCAAGCGCAAGCAAACAAGGATGACTAAGCCAAAGGGAGGAAAGGCGGACAGACAGAGAGACAGCAACAGCTGATGGGAAACTGGGGAGGGGAGGGAGGCCAGAGGCTCCAGGAGTTATCTCTAAAAAAAAATCCCTTCTCTCTCCCAGAGGGCTACACAGGGCTGGCCGCCGAGGAATCCTGTGTGACTCCCAAGCGCGCCCAGTCTCTTCGGCTCCTGCTGCTGCCGGCCACGTCCGTTTCTGGAACTCAAGACAACCACCGCCGGAATCAGAAGGGCCTTTTTGGCCAAGGGAGGGGAGGGGTGGGATTTGATGGGGGGGTAAGCTACGTTTCCAAATCCAGAGCATGCCACTCATGACACACTCCGTCCAGTTTTGCAGAATTTAGGGGCCTTCCTGAATGGAAATACAGTAAGGAATAAGCGGGGGGGGGCAGCATCCTAGTTGGTCTCAGGGACAGAAAGCCTGTTTTTACTGGGCCACTCTAAGGGGTGAAGGCTGGAGAGAGAAAAAAATTAAGCCAGGCTGATTAGAGGGAACGTTGCTGAATTCTATTATTTGGTGGTCCTGGGTGGGCCAAAGAGTACAAATCTTATATCCCAAGGAGGCAGAGAAGTCTGCTTTGAGATTTTTTAAAGTCCCTGGCCAGGCTTTTTTTTCCTTTTCTTTTCTCATCCTCCCCCTGGTGATTTCAGAAAGTCCAGGCACGTCTTTGGCCCGCGAAAGCAGACCTGGCACCAAAGATCAGGATGTGTCCTTAAGCCAAAACGGCAGGGAGGAGGACTCAGAGACTTGGGGCGGAAGACGCCTCTTTTGTCACCCGGCTTCAAAAGAAAAAAAAAATCGAACAGCAGGTACCAAAAGACAGGAATCTAATAATCATATATGATAATATTAGTCAGAGAATAAGCTGACAAGGGGAGGAAATCGATTCGTTTGAAACGTGGTGCCGAAGGAGAGATTTGTGGACACCCTGCGTGGCCAGAAAGATGAACAAGGGAATCAGAACCATCTCTGGAGGCTAACATTGTGTTCAAACCAAGGCTGTCTTACTTTGGATACCGTCGTCTGAGAAGGCACGATTCTCTGAAAAAGACCGTCAGATCTCTGGAGGCTAACATTGTGTTCAAACCGAGGCTGTCTTACTTTGGATACCATCTGAGAAGGCAGGATTCTCTGGAAAAGACCACCAGGCTAACAAAGGTAGAAGGCAGCAGGAAAAGAGGGAAGACGCAATGTGAGATGGACTGATTCTCTGAAAGAAGCCACAGGCTTGGGTTTCTAAGAGCTGAGCAGGGCTGTCGAGAGCAGGACATTTCAGAGATCAGTCGTTCCCAGGGTGGCCATAAGTCAAGGGCAACGTGACAGTACAAAACAACAAATAAGAGTAGGTAAATAGCAATGTGTTACAGGTTTATAATTAGCCAGCATGTTCGGGATCAGAAAATGAGCAGCCACGAGGGTGGGAAACGTTTGTGAAAAGAGAAGGACATAGTAAAGCGTCATGCCAAAGGAGGCCCACCTCCTGTTCCAAACTCGGAAACAACCGGTTGCATTTAATTAGGTGCTTGTTCGTTAGCAATCCCTCTTAGGAGGCTGGACGTGGGTGTTTCTTCGTTAAGGGAGACCACGGAGGACGAGAGCTTGGAATGAAAAGTTTATAAACCGCTCGTTCTGTTCCTGGTTTGTTTTCCTATTTGCTGAGAACGAGGCAGAACGGCAAGGGGCTCCCCGGGTGGCAACGGGTAGGAGCTGCCGCCCGGCCGCGAGAGAGGCGGTGGTCTCCTCAAGAGAAAGAAGCTGGTGCCAGCTTGTGCCTAAAATATTCGAGGCACGCCACCCTGCTTCCCAGGGAGACAAGAGGAAGCAGCTGCAGGCAAAAGCATAGGGGAGGGCTGCATCGTATTTGTGCCAAAAGCTGAAATCCAGAGAAAAGAGAGAGAAAACCCTTATTTATGAATCACAATTTTGCTTGTTTTCTCTTTTTCTCCAAATTTTGCTATTTTAAAGACAGGAAACTGGCCGCTGGGACTCCCCGCAGACAGACGGTTCGACATGGTCAAGCCTCGTCCCACTCCGCCCTCTGGTGGCCGAGACCCATCCCCAGATGTTCTAGGACTACAACTCCCAGCAGGCTTCGCCACGAGCTGGGCTGGCCAGGATTTCTGGGAGTCCCAAGTACCTCTGGGGACCCGAAGTTGGAAACCATGACTCTAGTCCTTAAAATGCGTCACCCTTCCACCCCCAAAAAGGTGGGTGGGTCATGTAATCCTTATCCACAACAGAGACAACATTCCCCATCCTGGAAAAGATTCTGGGGTGGCAAGAGAAACGCCAAAGACAGGAGTAAGGAGCCCCTTTGCAGAGCACGACAGAAACCGCACACGCTGTTAGCTACTGTGGATCAGGGCTGGCGTCATGGGATTTGAACTCGGGTCTCGTCGTTCGTGCAGAGAGAGGTGGGCTTTTTCTGAACAGCTGGCCCCACTGGATCCTTGGGAGACAAGGGACCCACCGCCCCATTCCACGAAACCTGGCTCGGAGGACGTCGGGAAATCAAGAAGCAGGCGGATCCAGAATGCTGGGCCTCCTCGAGCGACCAGAAGAGCACCCCGGATGCATGGGCTATGGAGTGTCAGGAAGCACAGGCCAAGGATCAGGCAGCTTACTTTTTCTTTTGTCCAACCTTCAGAGACTACCAGAAGAGCACCCCGGATGCATGGGCTACGGAGTGTCAGGAAGCACTTTTGTCCAACCTTCAGAGAGATGGGCTCACACACAGCCAGTGTGTTAGCAAAGGCCCATCTACGAGGGGTTGATATATTATGGGTTGTCATTTCTGACACAGAGTGAACCTTATAGACCTCCCCAGCTATCAGAGGTGTTCAAGGGGCAGCCTGACCGCTCTACGCTTCTGCCGCCGAGGGGAGATCTGAACCCAGGACTCCTGGACCCTGAATGTTACACTCTTCTGGCTAGCTGGATAGCTCAGTGGCCAGAGGTTGCGAATTCGATTCCCCCTACAGTCCCTCCTGGGAGAAGAGCCAGCCTGGGTAGCCTTGGGCAAGCTGCACAGCCCCAGGGCTCCCCCTAGAGGAAGGGAAGGGTCAAGCGCTTCTGAGGATTCCCTACCCAGAAAACCCCCCAAAAAGGGTCAAAACTGACTTGATAGCACACACGAGCAGATCGTAAACAAAGGAAGACTCGACCATCTGAGATGTCAGAGACCTAAAACATGGAAGGAATCTTTAAAAGAAAATGTAGACCAGCCCACCTCAAAGCAGGAAGCAGCTTCGACCTAGAGGCCTCCAACCAGAGAGAGAATTCCAAGACAGTCTTTTCCATTTCCAACCAGGTCTTAACTGGTGGAAAACGGAAGCCTCCTGGACCTGAATTTCGCCAAAATCTCTACCAACCCTTTTTTGCTCACTGATTCTTTCTAGCCCTGTCCTTCGAGTGATGGGAGACTCTGTGGCATCATCAAATCGGAGCTACTCCTCCAGAGGCAGGCATCCCTGGTTGCCAGAGGCGTGGGAACTACAAAGCCCATGGTGGGCAGGGTTCCTGGGAGCTTCAATCCAGCCCCGTTGCGAGATCCAAAGCAGGGAGGCCCACTGAGGACCCTCCCTTCCTCGCCTTTCAAACGATCCTGGGGACACGGTGGTACGAAAAAACCATCACTTTTAATGCTCTCACATAAAAACGAGATTGGGGGATCCGGATCCAGCGATGCCTCCTTGCCCCCCCCAGCCCCCAAATCCTCTGCCACTCAAAATCGTCACATAAAGTCACCATCGGACCAACGAAACCAAGCGCACGGATACACAGAGACAAGGGAAGGGGGGGGGGAGAAGAGACGGACAGCATAAACTTTTTTTAAAAAATGAGTGCATCCAGTAAATCTTCTTCCACGGCTTGTTTGGAATATCCCCGGTCCCCCCGTGCGAAGTCTAGGGAGGCATTTTTAGTCCGCTCGTCCACCCTTCCCTTTTTTTCGAGGGAAAAGAATCTCAGATTTTTGAGTTCAGAAGCACTGTAGTCCCGGGCTTTTGTAGGCAGCCCATCCTAAAAAACCAGGGGCCTTCGAGGCAAGGCGGATCATGACACCCGTCTCTCAGAAAACGCTCACAGAGATACTGAATGTGTTTTGGGTGTGTGTGTGCGAGGGAGGGGGGGAGAACAGGTCCGGAATACAAGCCCGGCTGCTCTAACCTTACCCCTGGGCTCAAAGGACATTGCTGCCTGGGTAATTCAGGGGGGGGGAGAGAAATCCACCACACAAGTGGGAATTAATGAGAAATCTCCCCCAGTTCCGGGTGGCACGCTGACAACTTCTGCTCTCAAGAGATGCTGAGGTCTCTTCGTTCTACTGTGGCTTTTGGGGTGGATTTTTTTTTGTCCGTGTGCAAACAGAAAAAGTGTTTTGACTA